CCCACCCCCCACCCCCCTTAGCCCCCGCCGGTGTTGACCATCGTCCTGGTTTTTGAGTTATTGTCGAGGTATAACAAATGCAAAAAATTCGTTTTTAAACAAAACAACTAAAGAAACCTTTTGTTTTGCCGGATCAGCCAATGAAACGATGCACATTCGTTGCGACACAGTGATTTGCTAATTATTTCACGGTTTTCTGCGTGTGAGGCTATATTCTGTCCAGGCCTAAAGCGACAGGATTGTTGTGAAGATTAATCAAAAAATCGCCCAAATTACGAAGACCAAAGTTGTATAACTCTTACACTGGGCTATACTGCCAACGCGAAAGACTTTCCCCTTACCGAGACTGACAACTGACACAATGGTAACTAGTTGTCTTGCTACTAAGAGAATTGTTTTGTAGTCAACACTTTTGACTTTGCCGAATTAATTTCAAAAACTTTTCTGTTATCAGTTGTGATTATGACTTGATACATAATTAGCATTAACAGCATTAAAGGAATCATAAAGAAGAGCCTTTTTCACGCTCTGTTTTCTCACTTGCACTACAATGTAATCCCACGTGGATGTTGGGCAATTTCGGGTAGAAATTAAACAACAAAGTTGCCTGAAATTGCGTCACATATGCCGTTGAGCAAACGTAACCGTGAAAAGGGCCATAGATAGTCAGATCAGACTTTTTCATGGAATATACATGTTCCATAAAGGACAACTGATCGCGCCTGGTTTATTTGAAGGATGAAAGATATAAATATACCGTGTGGCACGAATATTTTGAGGGTCATAATTGCTGCGATTTTGGCAGGTTTTTTTCACGATCCACAAAAAAGTTTCCGGAAAAATATTCACCTCAAAAATTTACTCCGGCAACGGCGAGATTTTACATACAAAAAAACAAAAAAAACACGAGTAGAATCTTGATGGTGCCATTTATCTGAAATGTCTCTTTCATTCAGAGACAAAAATAAAACGTTTACACGTTAAAGCAGCTCGGTCATGGTATTTTGAATAATTTGGCCATGTACAAAAATTACCTTTAAATTGGACGAAACGTGAAAGTAGTAGTTTGCTAAAATCGGAAAACTACAAATAGATAATAGTAAACCATAAAGGAACAAGGATAGTTAAGGATGGAGAAGATTAACACAGATAACAAACGACAAACTTGAAAAATTTAGCCTAAACTTTTCAAGATGGGCAAACCGTGACGAAGCTCGTTTAAGACATAATACAACAAGTCTCTAATTAACAATTCGAATTTTTATTCCATCCTGCTTTGTGTATATGTCTTGTTAAACAATATTTTCCCAGTTTAAGCTCTTCAACACAGTGTTTCTTGAGAAGAGGTTCTTGAAACAAGCCAGAGAGACCAGCAGTCAGCTTGCCACAGGCATTTCCTACAGTCAACAAACACAGTGCGAATTCTCTTCTCTCGGGATCCGCGATCAAGTCAGATACCGTGTGAGCCGAATTGAGGTACATTGACCCTGCCGTGAAACCCTCTGTCATGCAAAGTGCGATGATAATTTCGACACGAGGAACAAAACGAAACCACGAAGCTAGGAAGAAAAAGACACCGTGAAGAAAAGCTATCAAAGCTAAAATCCATGTTCGTTTGACCTTTATGTGTTGAACTAGCTTAGGACTGACCGCAGCGACTAGGAACAAGTGTGACCGACCCATGAACTTGCCGATATGATAAGATAGTATGTAATACGGATAATGGTCCCTTGGACCGAAAGGCGCATTTGGGAACGCAAGAGTTGTGATAATGGCGTGATTCGAGAAGTACTCTGAGAAGTAAGTTATAAAAAGAAATAGAATGAATGGAAAAATGTCCTTTGCGACATTTAATCTGTCCGAGAATGAGATGCGTTGTATACTTTCTTGTTTATCTTCTGTAAGTAGATTGTCTTCACTCTCGGTAAAATTCTTTTTCTTGTCAAAAGGCTCTTTATCCAAGAGAGCGTAGAGGAGGAGTAGCAGAAAGGGCCAGGGTATTGTCATCATAATAGTGGTGCGAGGCGCTAGGCATGACCACGTGGTTAAACCTGTCAATCAAATAAAATACACACTTTGTATTAGATTCAGAGTCAAGTGAACATTGTCAAGTTTGCTGATAAAAAATCGTTGCAACATTCAATTTTGTGAATTGTGTTATATTTTTTCACAGAAATGAGATCTGCAAGCCATGAGTTAAGAATTGGACTGTACAATCCCCCCTGAAAGAGAAGAAATATTTACTAAATGACTTTCCCCGTCCGCCAGGGCAGACTGTGAATCTATCATTGCCAACTGTCGCGGGAAAAGTTGATGCTTCTCTTGAAGCCCGAAAATCGTGAGGAGAGATACTTGGTGCGAGGGTTATTCAGAGAGTTCACATGTAGCTGGTAGAGTCCAGGCTGACAAGACTCATTCTGCATATTACTTACTTGTGTAATAAAGGGGCCCAATAAAGGACGCCACTCCCACACCAGCCACAAAAGCGCTGACTGTAATATGTTCGTAGAACGCAGTCAGAGACAGGAACGTTATTTCACTGGTAGCCACTCCAGACTCTATGATACCCACGCCAGCGAGTCTTCCCGAGATACGTTGCGAGCAAACGAGCGCTGTTAATCCTCCAAGGAAAAATGCAATGACGAGTACGATTTTCTTCAAATACGAAATACGCTGGAAAAACCACGGGGCTGTGAGCTTGATGGCGAGAACTGGGATAGCAATTGATAAGATCACTGTTGTTGTGGCAATCGTTGATCCTGCAAGAATGTCTTCGGCTGCTATCAAACAGATTTCGTCGTAAATTAAAGAAAGGATTCCGAAAATAAAGAAGCAAACTATATTCCTTCCTTTTTCTGGGGTCTTGTTTTCAGTCATGCTCAGAATCAGATGAAGGTACAGCCACTTCACTTGACAATTTCAATTTGTCCTTTAACCCAAGATTATTCTACTTTTCTTGATTTACTTCGTTCTGTTTAAAATTGAGGTAGTTGAGTGCTTAAATCGAAGAACTGCCAAGGCAGGCTTCCAGTCATCCGGAATCTGAAATTAATTACACACAGTTTAAATGACAGACAAGAGCTGATGGATAACTTACGTCTTCAGCTCTCTMSTTATGCTGAAGTTTCGTGTGCGTTGCCGCATCATCCCTTCACGGGAAGTCTGTAATTTATACTCGTTGGTACATGGTGGGTAAGTTACAAAACCACTGAAGCTTCTCTGAATAAAGGCATTTTTAGGTATAACAATAAAATAAGGAAGGAATGTTCCGCGCAACTCCGCGAAATCTCCCGTTATGTTACAAAAAAAAAAAAAAAAATGCCATAAAATAAAAATCTCCTGTTATGGCAACCTTCGGGTGCCAGTATCAACAAGGTCAATCAATGGTCAATTGCAGGTTGCCAAATGTAAATCGCCCAGGTGTGAAACGGTCAAAAACCCTTTCCGATTCATTTTACTGCGTTACAACCCAATTGTAAAATACTTAACTTGCTCTCATCTGTCTTAGGTCTTTTTTTTTTTCAATCATTATAGGATTTTGATCGAAAATTATAAAGCGGTACGCGGCTTTGTAACTGATCATTTCTGAAAATTTTCAATAAGCATAGCAATGATTCTTCTTATTTAGAACCGATTTACAAGTGATAAGCAAGAGTTTTAACTTACCTTGTATATGACCTGCGAATGAGAACAGTGATGATGAAAGGTCTTATAAACTCTGATATTTTCAAAATATCTTGAACACAACCCGTTTTATCACGGACACGTGATTCATATCCCGACCCCCCACCCGTCTCCACTCAGAAGAAATGTACCTGCCCCACAACCTGTTGTATTCATCTTTTCAGTCTTGACTCATATTTCTTTCTGTACGTACAATGTAGCTGATATTTAGATCTTAAAAAATCGTAATATGTAATGAGGAAGTCACAACAGCCCTAGATGGTTTTCCTCTTTTCAGAATAAGTCGAATTCGAGTTTGGAAATGTATTAGTTTTTCAGGAGAGAGGAAAACCGTAGATTCCTCGGAGCAAGGAAAGAACCAACAACAAAATCGACCTGCACAAGGCACTAGGCCCGTTACCGTGGAAGCGGGGTATGTATTTCACTACATCCCTCCCCCTCCCAGTGTTAACCTAACATGATACCTAGAACTAAAGGTTTGCGTTGAGACAATTCTCAAACCGTAGACCAGTATAGTTTGAAAGCCTTTGCGGATATTCGACCCCTTCTAACTCTCTAATTAAAATATCCTGATCGGTAGATGCTTACCCGCTCGCGCAAAACTAGGCACAAACTTATTCAAATCTCGGCCCAGTCTTCGGGCTAAAAGCGGAAAATAGAACGCCTGCTAAGAAGTGCAAGCGGCAGCAGAACCTACATAGCCATGAGGTTTTTCTCAAATGTATGGGCAACATATCAAAGATATCTCTCCACTCATCCTTGGAGAACTCAAACAATGACTACAGGTATGACAACGGAGTCGATCAGTTCCAGTTTCTCCCAATGAGAACAATTTTCGGTGTCACGAAACCGCCATATTGAAATCTGACCATAATACTCTAATCGTGTGAATCGGTTATTGCTGGGTTATTGTACTGTGATTGTAAGGGAATGCAACACCTATGATCGTAAAAACCAACAAATTCAAGAAATCTGTCAAAAGATTTTGTTTTAGCTCATTTATTTTATATCTTTTTTAACTTAGAATACATAGCTTGGATTGGTGTACTCTAGCGCTATTAGAGTTTTTTGGTCTTCTATGTTTATTCAGGTTTATTGTGCCCTTTATTTTGATACAAATGCCGGAACAAAAATAGGACATGATCTATAATCCTACCTTGTCAACAAAACCTACAAAGTGGATGATAAACTTAATACTGTCTGAGTGACATGTACAGCTATGTCAAGGTTATCTTCAGTCATTCATGATTACACACATCTACACAAAACCTACAAAGTAGATGATAAACTTAATACTGTCTGAGTGACAGGCACAGTTATGTCAAGGTTATCTTCAGTCATTCATGATTACACACATCTACACAAAACCTACAAAGTAGATGATAAACTTAATACTGTCTGAGTGACAGGTACAGTTATGTCAAGGTTATCTTCAGTCATTCATGATTACACACCTACACAAAACCTACAAAGTAGATGATAAACTTAATACTGTCTTAGTGACAGGCACAGTTATGTCAAGGTTATCTTCAGTCATTCATGATTACACACATCTACACAAAACCTACAAAGTGGATGATAAACTTAATACTGTCTGAGTGACAGGCACAGTTATGTCAAGGTTATCTTCAGTCATTCATGATTACACACATCTACACAAAACCTACAAAGTAGATGATAAACTTAATACTGTCTGAGTGACATGTACAGCTATGTCAAGGTTATCTTCAGTCATTCATGATTACACACATCTACACAAAACCTACAAAGTAGATGATAAACTTAATACTGTCTGAGTGACAGGTACAGTTATGTCAAGGTTATCTTCAGTCATTCATGATTACACACCTACACAAAACCTACAAAGTAGATGATAAACTTAATACTGTCTTAGTGACAGGCACAGTTATGTCAAGGTTATCTTCAGCCATTCATGATTACACACATCTACGTGTCTTAGATTTATCTTGAGCAGATTCTCAAAGTAAAAGGAGTACCTTGAGTTTATAGAATGTTGATTTCAGTTATCAAATTACACAGAATGAAATTGTTTTCAGGTCTAGATACAACTTGGCATTGAGGTTCACCAAATTCAGTTCAAATGATAACTGTTTGAGACCATGTTTTACCAACTTGCATGTAATAGAGTGTAATTATTGCCCTAAAAAGGTCTTCTATTGGTCAAATTGTGTAGTTCCAGAAATTATCCATGCCTCCCCCACGAAGGGGAATTTTTCTAAGTCCTCCCACCTCTCTGGAAAGTCCGATTGAGCTTCATGGATTTCTTTAAATTTTTTGGTCTTACAGAAGCCCCCACCCCCAGGATGTTCCAATCCCTTCTGTGGTGGGAGTATGGATATTTTCTGAAACTGAACTAAAGAATAATAATTGACCAAATATTTAGCTAGCCTTGCTAGATGTTTAGCTAAGGTATTAATCGTTATTATTATCATGTTTTCAGCTATGATGTTTACAACAAGTGATATTTTTACCCAGCAATTAGTTGAAAAGAAAGGATCAAATCACAATGGGAGAAGAACGTTACGTATGTGCATGATGGGGATAATAATCGGACCTATTCAAAGGACCTGGTTTCTGACCCTAGAGCGGTTCATCCCACCTACATCCAAGATACAGATCGTCAAGAAATTGATAGTAGACCAGACTGTCTATGGGCCTTTCATAATATTTTTCTTTTATAGCCTATCAAGCACATTAGCTGGAAAAAATCTTGATGACTTAAAGCTGTTACTACAAGAAAGATACCTTAAGACTATTTTTACAGCTTACAAAGTCTGGCCATTTGTACAGGCAGTCAACTTTAGCTTTGTCCCCCTTCAGCACCGTGCAAATTTTGTACAAGTGGTGTCTCTGTGCTGGAATATGTACCTGTCTTGGATGGCAAACAAACCTGTCACAAGTGCGACTACAGTTTATGAGAGTTCAGGAGAAATGATCCCAAATTTGCCTTCAGACCAGAAAAATCAAGAAATTACTGCCATCATAAAATGATAAAAAATTTGAATTTGTATACTGTAATCATTATGGAACTGGACATGACAAAAATAATATTCATAATACTTATACATAGTTTTTGTAATTTCCAGTTACTAGTTTATATTCATTGTGAACCATCTACATGTATATAGAATGAACTTAGAAATCCTGGGGGGACTCCCATTTAAGAGACGAGGTGCTCATCTGAAATTTTGAAAAAAAAAAAAACCCTAAGAGGTACCAAGATCCAGTTTTGTGGGCATGGCTTGAAATTTGTTCATCCCTAAGAGGTACCAATTTTAAAACAACACATTATCTCCTGTCGTATCTTTTTCAGCTCAATACTCTGATAGGTAGTGGGAGGCATGGTGGCCTCATGGTTAGTGCGCTCGTCTCCGGATTGAGCGGTCCGNGATGGACTAGCATCCCATCGCTTCATGCTACAGAAACCGGGATAAGCTCTGGCCTGATGGGTCACTTGGCTCGTATGCAGACTTTACCTTACTCTACTTTACCTTTTGAGGTTGAACACCTTCAGAGGTACCAAAATTGCTTTTTCAACCCCTAAAAGACCTAAAAGGTACTTCAAGCAGCCCCGTCCTTTTTATATAAGAGTTCCCCTGGGATAAAAATGTCAAGATCTGATTGAGAGGTTGGTGGCATCAACTTGTTATTTGTGCCCACATCAACTAGGGTTTGTGGTTTCAGATCACCCATGCATAATGCTATTCTACATTCATGTTACATGCAGTTACTCAATGTCGCTGCTTGTAACCTAAACTTACATGCTTCCTGTGGTTGACTACCACATTGGACATAACACTTGAATCATAATTCATACAATTAAGAGAATCCATGTCATTAGTATATTTTTGTACTTATAGGAATAATAATTATTATAAACAGTGTTAATTCTATGATACCTAGCAGTGATTAATTTCTGATATTGAAATTCTGTTGGGCATGAAATTAATAACCATTCATAGAACTAATCATGGTTCAGTCTGAGTCAGTCTGTGTTTCTTTGGGGAAAAATATTTATTAGGATTTTCACTTTCATTGACTTTTTGTGTGCTTTGTCAGTTTCTTTTTAATGTAGTAAGATTTTAAAATTTTTAATTATATAAGAGAACTGTATATTGTATTTTACATTTTATTTTATATAGTACTTCTATATCAAATATATACCCTCACTAGTGGCTGGTGGTTGCATGAACCTCTAATCTTAGTCATATTGTTGTTGTTAGTTACTTATTACAGTTGTACCATGTTCAAGAGAATCTTGACTTAACAACATTGACTAAGCTAGGGAAGTATGGTTGTGTACTACATGGCTTTCTTTAACTTGTCCTGGGTTTAGTAGTCGAAATCTCTGTAACTGGTTCAAATGTGAAGTGTTGAGTTTTCAGTGAGTTACCTGGTCAGTACCGTGTTTTTTGTAATATGTGACATAAAAGTGCAGTAGAAGATCAAACTGCAAAAACAAACATACTAGTAAGCTCAGTGGCATGCTGAAACTTTGAAGATGCCCAGTTTTCAAACCAGGTAAAGAATTAAGCTTATTAAACTGAGCTATTTATTTTATTTCCCGTTGTTATCAATTCCTATCAAACTTTCTGTTTCAACAAAGCTTTGTTTAATGGAGTCCACTACTTATGAGCAGAATTTTAGTTCATAAAACTTTTGATTTTTCTGTCAGTATTAAAAGGTCGTTATAAATTTTACCTGAATAACTTTGCATCCAACACTTGCTGTTCTTTCTCCTCAAGGTAGGGCTGAGACTTGTTGCGCGCTCACTTAAAATAAATTCAATTTTCACAGCCAAATTTTTTCCAAACTCAAATCCCGAGCAGACTGCGGGCGCAGAACATTTTAGTTCGCGTAACATGTCGTCACGTTACTCGTCACTAAACGTCCCTATGGTAACTGCAAGTTTCAAAGTGTGTTTTTTTTAGATACAAGATATGAGAGTTTTTCAGCGCTAGAAACAACAAAGAAAGTCTAGAAACTTCATTTGTTTTATTTTTTTAGTCTATTTGTTAGCTAGAATTCGACATGGTCGTGTTGCAGAAATCCGAAAATCAAGTTTACGCGGATATTGTTCGTAGCTTGAAGCAGAATTTTCGATCTGAGCCGACTCAACCGTCACCTCCTCGCAGCGAAAGAAAAGTTCGAATCCGCACAAATCGCCATTACAGATCCGAACTAACAGACGATCACTGGAAAGATAGGTATAACCGCCATGTCAAACAGAGTGTGTGTGGATTTTACACGCCAGCTCATGTGCCTTATGCTTCAGTGGGGGACGTTTGTTTGGACATGCGCGAACTGGTCGTCAGTACCGTGGGCTTTGACCAAAGCTCAGAGAAGGTGATACACAACTTATTCTATTTTAACAAACTTAACTGCTAGGTATTCGCAGTTTTAGTCATTCTAGGTCATTAAAACTTTATTGCGTGTTGGCTAAGTCATTCATTATTACTGTATGCGCTCTGTTGTTTACCCAGAGGAGCTCTGGTTGCCTAGTTACAAAAAAACAGGTACTTTCTCTTTTTCAAGCACTAAAATGCGGTTGATAGCTGCACTTTCAATCAGTTTGTATTATTTTTCACTTTTTTTATAAACCATAGATTAGATCTGAGTGGATCATTCTTAGTTGTTAGAAAGACCAGTTTTTCCCGGCCAAAGTTTTTCCTTCTGCTGTTC